AAATGTTGCACAGCATGGGGACTGAAGTGAATGGAGCTGAACTGTACACTTGAAAACGATTAAAATAGGCAAATTTTTTTGTTATATGTTTCTTACCAATATTAAAAAAGGAAAAAATGTGGATACTCTTCGGGTAGAAAGGAATTTTGTCTAACTAAAACTAAGACCATTGCTTATTAACAGTGGTAACTATGAAGGAGGCTACAGGTGTTTTGGAAGGCCAGCGTTCTGAGTTTGAGGACTTGCTCTTGGAGCAGTGATTTCAAATTTTAGGGTGTCATGGAGTCGATTCCTACTCCTGGTGATCCTGTATAGGGGTTCTGTGACTATAAATCTCTGCAGCAGTTGAAAGCCTCAGTTCCCCCACACCCAGGAGCAGTTGGTAGATTCTAACCTTTGTGTTTAAATATCTGGAGCACTTGCTAAATATAGACCGATGGACCTCCCCTGCAGTTTCTGATTGTTTGTTCTGGGGTGGAGTCCAAGAATTTGCATTTCTGACATGATTTGCATTTCTGAGTGATGTTAAACTGCAGGTTGAGGATTGACAACTCTGTACTTTTTAATTTTTTTTCCTTTCAGAAGTGTGTACTCAACTTTTTGAGTACTTGCATGACCAATATAATCTTTATTTTACTCTCATGCATGAGGTATTTTGACAGAATTCCAGATCTGAAATAATTTTCTTTAGAAACGTGAAGACTTTCTAGCATCATTTCTAGCAGTGACGGCAGCAGAGTTTCATGAAAAGGGCAAATGCACACCAGCCTTGTTAGGCCCAGGCTTGGAATTGGCACTCAAAATATGAATTTCATCATCACTGGCTTTGGTGGTTGGTGTATAAATTTTAATAGTAACTGCATCACTTCCTTGTAAGTGTATAGATATTATCATATAACAATATGGTGTTGTTGTTGTTAAGTGCCATTGAGTTGGTTCGGACACATAATGACCCTGTATAGGGTTTCTGAGGAGTGGCTGATAGGTTTGAACCACCAACCTTGTGGTTAAGAGTCTAGTAGTGTTTAAGAGTCTACAGTGCTACATGGACATGTTCTTTTAGATGATGAACGCAATGCTATTCCTCTTCAATATGTCATTCCTGGCATAGTAATAAATCATATGATTCTTGGATTAAAAATCGCCAATGCTAGTCATTTCAGCCTTGGATATTGATCTTTATGCATTCCATTTAATGTTTGAAAACTTCCAAATTTCCTAGATTCATTTTGTACTAACTTAATGGGTTTGCAGCTGTTTCTTCTCAATTTGAGTCATTCCGCACCAGCAAACGAAAGTCCTGAAATCTTTGTACCATCCACTCCATAAGGCAGACTCTACTTAGAGAAGGCAGCTCTTTTTCTGTTGTATTTTGAGTGCTTTCCAACCTTAGGGGCTTGTCTCACGTCTTCGATTTAGGTTGAGACGTCTATCGGGCCCCACCAACCTCAGGTCACACCCCTGTTTCTCTTGCCTGAGGGCAGAATTTGCGGCTGCGCAGAGCTTTCTGGAGAGGCTGCTTCTGGGCGAGTCCCGCCCTCTTTGCCCTGGTGATGTGTCACCGGTTACCACGGAGACTGCTCTGTTTACTTCCCCGTTCTGGTGAGAGCGCGGAGCTCTGGGAGGGCTGAGGAGGCTCCCACGCCCTGCCTGACTAGTTGTCCTTTGCGACGTCGAGGTAGGTAAACCCAGGCCCCGACCCCACCAACCCTTCCTTACCCGATGGTTGGAATCGGCCTAAATTTAGACGATCATTTGTTGGAGCTGCTCAACATATCCTGGAGTTTGGGGAGACCCCCATGTTGTCTGAGAGAGTTGGAAGGGGGTCATCCTAGTTAAGGGCCTACCTTTGTTCATCCTGTGTGTCTAAAGGGCTTCAGAGATTGAGAGGCCTCTGGTGTGGCTTAATGCGCCAGACTACAAAGCCATCTGAACTGCAGGGTCGGTAGTTCAAGCTCTCCAGTTGCTCCTCAGAAACCCTATACAGGGTCCCTGTGGGTCTTAACAACAAAGGAAAGCTTTCAGATTTTGGGGTGGGGATGAGAGCTGGCGGCGGCGGCAGTAACACATTTCAGCCTTGTGGAACATCAGCTGTGCACAGATGAAATGGGTACATTTTATAGTCGTTTTGTTGTTGGGTCCTCAGCCTGTTGCCTTTCTCCTGCATTCTCTTAACTGTTCTCTACCTTTTCTTTGTTCTGGAAGTCTTTTTGGTCCTTAATCTGCTGAACATTGCTGTTATTAGTTGCCTTCAAGTCGGTTCCAACTCAGAGCGACCCTAAACACAACAGAAACACTGCCCTGCCCTGCGCCATCCTAACAATTGTTACGATTGAGCCCATTGCTGCTACCACTGTGTCAGTCCATCTTGTTGGAGGTCTTCCTCTTTTTCAATGACCCTCCACTTTGCCTAGCATGACATCATTCTTCAGGGATTGGTACCTCCTGAAAATATGTCCAGGTATGAGAGACAAAGTCTCACTATTCTGACTTCTAAGGAGCATTCTGGCTGCTCTTCCAATACAGTTGTTTATTTTTCTGGCAGTCCATGGTACTTTCGACATTCTTCTTTAACACCATAATTCAAATACATCAGTTCTTCTATGGTTTTCCTTATTCATTATCCAACTTTCATATGCATATGAGGCAATTGAAAATACCATGGTTTGGGTCAAGCGCACCTTAGACCTCAAATTGACGTCTTTGCTCTTGAATATGTTAAAGAGATCTTTTGCTGCAGATTTGCATATTGGCAATACATTGTTTTCGGCATGTTGCTGTTGTTGTTAGGTGCCATTGAGTTGGTTCTGACCCATAGCAACCCTCTGCACAACAGGATGAGACACCGCCAGGTCCTGTGCTACCTTCACAATTGTTACATTTTAGCCCAGTCCATTTCCTTGGGGGTCTTCCTCTTTCTTGCTGACCTTCCACTTTACTAAGTATGATGTCCTTCTCCAGGGACTGGTTCCTCTTGATAACATGTTCGAAGTATGATAGACGAAATCTGGCCATTCTGGCTGTACTTCTTCCCACACAGATTTGTTTGTTCTTCTGGCAGTCCATGGTACTTTTAATATTTTAATATGGCATAACTTGCAGCATCACAGCAACACACAAGCCACCACAGTGTGACAAACTGATAAGTGGTGGTGTTTGCCTGCAAAAAAATGTCACCAACTATACATCCGACAGTGCTCTACTCAACTGGGTTAAATAATTCATTGAAATGGCCTTAGAACTTAGAACTTAGACACCATACTCACAATGATGGGTTTATTAAGCAATGTATTAGGTTACAGTTTAGGGTCAGAAATACTCAGGGCCCAGTTCTTTCAGTCAGGACTACCTCTCTTCAGCTGTGCCCACAGGTAAACCTCTTTCTGCCTGGGCAATGTGACAAAGGCCTTATAGTGATGCCAGCAAATGCCCACAGGACACTCTGCTAGAAGCCTCAGCCCATAGGCAAACAGCTCTAGCTCCTCGGGTCAGCAAACCTAACTCCCCAATTAAGTGTCTGTAGGTACCCTACTCCACAACGAGCCTCCTGCGCAGAGGCACTTAGTCTTTACTTGCTCTGTGGGCCAGGAAAATCTACCACTCTGTCATGATTTGGCTCTTGGTTCTGCTGCCGCAACTCATAGATTCACTGGGCAGGGATCTTGAGGTTCAGAGGACCTATGACCGGCTCCACTGGCTGGCTGCTTACCCCTGATGGTATAGTGAAATCTCCCTGTTCCTGCTTCTGAGATAGCTCACTTTTATACATGTTAGAGTTCCAAGTTTTTCAATCAAGACGAAGCTTGTTAACCATGCAAAAGCTGAATCTCATAATCAGCATTTTCTCCCACCTTCCCTTACCCAGACCCATCAAGGTAAAACCATTTGGTGGGAGTTTACAAAGAATATGGCTAGAAGAGACATGAAATAATTCTCTGTACTGCAGAGCCCTGGTGGCACAGTGGGTTAAGTATTGGGCTGCTAAGTGCACGGTTGGTAGTTCAGTCTCACCTGTTGCTCTGAGGGAGAAAGGTGAGGCTGTCTGCTTGTGTAAAGATTTACAATCTTGAAAATCATAAGGAACAATTTGACTCTGCCGTAGAATTTCCATACGTAGGCTTCCATTTACAGATGTCACATTTATTCTGTTTTTACAAAACATGTCTGGGTCTATCTGTTTGTGACCCAGAAATTCCACGGAATCACACAAACTCATACACAGGTTCACCAAAAGACATATGTGAGAATATTCTTAGCATTTTCATTGTATCTCCAAACTGGAAACCACTCAAATATTTATAAGCAGTAGAAAAGATCTATGTTTTTACATTGGAATACTACCTAGTAATAGAATGAACCAGCTACCAGCATAGGGACCATGTGAACAATGCTGATGAACACAAACATGGTGGTGTTGGTGGTGGTGGTGCACCGTGGAGTCGGTTCCAACTCATAGCGACCCTGCATAGGTTTTCCATCTTGGCTGGTAGTTTTGAACTGCTGAATTTGAGGTTAGCAGCCTGACTGGTAACCACTACTCTACCAGAGCTCCTTGAATCCAAACATAATGTTGAGTAAAAAAACTCAGATACAAAGAGTACATAGTATTTGATTTGTTGATACAAGGACGCTTTAAAAAGTTAATGGAAAAATCCATTATGTTTTCATTTCATTTTTTTTCTATGACCTTTTCAAAGCCACCTTGTCGTTTTTAAAAGCAGCATAACTAATTTATAGTGTTCAAAGTCAGCTTAAGTGGTTATTTTGTGAGGGCGGGCGTGGAAAGTAGTGACAAGGAAGGAGTATGAGGAGGTTACTGAGTACCGGTCATGCTCTGTTTCGTGACCTGGGTTCTGACGATACAGATGTGTTCGTTCTGTGTACAGACAATGATTTATGCATATTTAAGCTCGTATGTTACATGCTAATGAAAGGTGACCTTTAAAAAGGACAAATTGCTTTTTAGTTAATCTAAAACAAGTTTGCCTTTGACTAGGACTTTGGGAACGTCACATGGCCAAACTATTACAACCTCCCCCTAAGTTCCTGCCCTCAGAGTGGCACATAGCTAACAAGAACCAATACCATGGCGCAGATGCTCAAAGATCCCGATCTGAACGCCTGGTGGCAGAAAGCCAGAGGCTTGTGGATGAAATTGAAAAGACCTCAAGAAAATCTCAAAATGACGTCAACAAGAAACTAGGTAACATAATGTGCTTGATAAATTTGTGAGTATGTTTGGATGAGACTTGAAGTTTAGTGATACTGTTATTGCATTTGATATTTAAGGCTGGTAATATATTATTCTTCAGATACTAAATACACAAACATAGATTCTCCTGGTTCTGTGTTTAAGTTCACTCCCTATGACTGTCTGATTTTAAGCCATCCACCCATCATGCATTCATTCATTTGATGCATATTTATTGAGCATCTGAGAGTTTACAGACTGAGCATTGGGAATACCACAGAAAACGATTGTGGCTTCTGCTTTTTAGAGGTTGGAGGAAGAGGAAGACAGAGAGAGAGAGAAAAAAAAAGAAGAATCAAAATATAGCTAGATAGATGCTGGAGTCAAGTATACAAACAAAGTAGGAATACAGCAAGCAGGCACTGAGAAAAGTGGGAAAGTTTTCTTAGAGAAGAACATTTGAGTGGAGTCTTAAAGGAAGCCTAGTTTTCTCTGGGAAATTCCATACTTAGGAACAGTTTTTAGAGGCTTGTTCTCATGGCAAGCCGTAGAAGAAGAAGACTCTCTTTGGCCAACTATAATAACCCATCAAATATTCCACCTTGTGGCTCAAAGCCTTGATAAAATGGGTACTTAATATCACCACCACCAACCTCTGGCCCCAGAATCCACACCCACTTAAGAAATCTCCTGGTTTAGAGGTTAGGGCATTATTCCTGATATGGAAAGCAGAGGCCAGCATTACCTGTTGACCATATTCCCATGGACTTTTAAACAGATAAGCCTGTGAAACTCTGAGGAATTGTAGATGTTTAGAGCATGTGCACAAGATTCAGTATTATATGGTTCATTAAGATGTGCTATGACTGGCCTTGGGCATTTTTATTAAGTAGCAGCATTAGAAGATCTTGTGATGTTGAAGTAGGAGGATTTATTTTAGTGACTTTAGGATGCTGATTCCATTGTAGGTATAATTATGCAAAGCTAAGAATTGCTAGAGAAGGAATTAAAAATAAGATTTTATATGAAAGCATCCACCTTGATCCTGAAAGAAACTAAGCTAAGTGCACTAGCTATACTTGAGTAGGTAGTCCTTGAGCAAAGAACACGAAAACACAACTCACTGAAATCAGCAGGGACAAAACTGAAACCAACTACACAAAATATTTTGTGTATAGTAAGAAAGTAAAACATCAGAAACAAACCCACAACAATAGTATTTAAATTTGGGCTGCTAACCTCAGGGTCAGCAGTTCGAAACTACCAGCCACTCCACAGGAGAAAGATGAGGCTTTCTGCTTCCGTAAAGATTTACAGCCTCGGAAACACTGTACAGGGTCATTATGAGTTGGAAATGACTCCACGGCATATAACAACAACATCCTTAAATAAGGAAAACCAAAGCAAACATAAAATATCAAAGGAAACAAACAAAATCTCCCAAACTCCAAAATGTAAGAAACCAGAGGTCATAAGCTCATTCATCTCTAAGGTGGGTATTGGATGTAAGACAATAAGGAATGGAGGCACATGTACCAGCTAAACACAAACTGCAACTCAATTGAAACCCATTTCTCTCAAAGAATAGGGGTTCATGAACTTCTGATTTTTTCCCCCCAAAAAACTAGAAAGCTGGAATTTTATGTACACTGCCTCACTTTTTCAATATAGGCAGTCTTCAGGTTACAGACATCCAACTTATGTGCATGCATACAACCCACATAACTATTACAATAAAAACTAGAGGTACATACAGTGGTTAATAATAAGAAACTGATAACTACTTAGCGCTGCACATCAAAACATTTTTATTACTATATTATGTTAAAGATGGTTTAGTGTATCTGCAAGTGTTTCTTTATTGCTTTTTATGCATAGAAAAGTACACGGTAGGTTAAGATCAACATTTGGTTAACTGATGTCAGATATAAATAAAAAAATCATACCCAACTATTCTGATTTATGTACAGATTTGAATTTAGTAATGAAACTTGCTTGTAATCTGGAGACTGCTTATATTAACAACTGATTTACATGTATTTCCAATACTGGGCAAGTGGAGCAAACACATCTATGGATAAGATCTGGCTAAAGACTGCTAGAGCTTGATGGCCAATAAAGCAAACTTCTCCCAGGCCAGTAATATTAGACGTTAGGGTCTTCCTATTGGGGTGATTCTTAGCTATGATATCAACCTATTGTTGTTGTTGTCAGGTGCCATCGAGTCGGAACCGACTCATAGTGACCCCATGCACAGCAGAACGAAACAATGCTCGATCCTGGGCCAACCTCACCACCGCTGCCACCCCCGAGTCCATCAATGATGCCACCTGGCCGATCCATCTCGTTGGGGGTCTTCCTCTTTTTCTCCGACCTTCCACCCTACCCAGCATGACATCCTTCTCCAATGATTGTTTCCTCCGGACTACATGTCCAAAGTAGGAGAGATGAAGCTTAGCCATCCTGGCCTCCAAGGAGCACTCTGGCTGCACTTCTTCCAAAACAGATCTATTGGTTCTTTTGGCAGTCCATGGCACTTTCAGTATTCTCCTCCAACACCACAACTCAAAGGCATCAATTCTTCTACGATCCTCCTTATTCACTGTCCAGCTTTCACATCCATATGAGGCTATTGAAAACACAATGGCTTGGGTCAGGCGCACCGTAGTCCTCAAGCTGACATCTCTGCTCTTCAATACTTTAAAAAGTTCCTGTGCAGCAGATTTGCCCAGTGCAATACGTCGTCTGATCTCTTGACTGCTACTTCCGTGAGTGTTGATAGTTGATCAACCTATAGTCAGGCTTAAATCATTGTTGTTGTTGTTAAGTGCCATCGAATTTGTTCCAATTCATAGTGACACTGTAGAGGGTTTCCAAGGAATAGCTGGTGGATTTGAACCGCTGACCTTGCAAGTAAGTAGGTGCCAAAAATGAAGATGTTCTTATTTATTTCCCACAATAATTTGTCAGTACACATGAGAGTAAGGGTTTTAAGGTCTGTACCTTAGCATCATCAAATCATTTAAAAAAAAAAAACTATTCACAATGTCATTAAAAAACATAGAATATCTAAGAGTAAATCTAACAAAAACCGTGCAAGCATTCTACCCTGAAAACTCAAATCATTCTTGAAAGAAGTAAAAACAAATGAAATAAATGCAGGGAGCTATGTTAATGGATTAGACATCTCAGTATTTCTAAAATGTTTTGTCTCCCTAACTACTATATAGCTCTAATGCCAGTGAAGGAGTCCAGGTAGCATAATGGATTAGGAGCTGGGCTGCTAGCTGCAAGTCATAACTGACTCAGTGGCACACAATCACCACCGCCAATGGAAATCCCGGCCGTTTTTGTTTTTGGTGAAATTGATAAACTGCTTCTAAAATTCACAGGGAAATGCAGAAGATCAAAAATAAAACCTAACTATCAAAGAAATAAAGAATAGACACAGCTCTTGTATGAGGAAGAACAAAACTTTCCCCATAGATTTCAAGACCGATTATAAAGCAGTGGTAATTAAGTCCATTGGGGTATAGGTCAGCATAGATACATTGACCACTAGAACATAAGAGTCCAGAGCAAATCCACACGTGCACATCCATTTGATATGTGACAAGCAGAGCTGCAGTGCAGCGGGAAACGATGGCCTATTCCAAGAAACTGGTCAGTTGTATACTCAGATGGAAGCAATAGGCCTTGAAGGATTTGTCCGTGAGTTTAGAATGATCTTTTGATAATTGTGATATTGAGAGTAAGAAATGTCTACTCCTCCCTTCATCTTTGCTAACAAACAGTGATAAAGATGAAAACAAATCCCAAGTAGCAAAGCTCTAAGAAGAAAAGAACATCTCCCGGGTAGTTTTACAATAATCCTCAAGTTTCTAATTTGAAAGTTGGCTCCATTGGGAGTAGATTAACCCTGGTGTAACTTCCTTGTGTGCTTCAGAACAGAGGCTTGAGGAAGTCAAGTTCTGGAAGAAGGAGTTAGATGACAAAGTTGAGCAGCTTGTGCATGTAACCGAGGATCTACTGATATTTAAGATCAGGTTGGAAAAAGCCCTGGAGACCTTAAAAGAGCCCTTGCACATCACCCAGACATGCCTGACATACAGGTAGGAGGGAAGGTTCCCGTCATCTGCTACAGGGAATGAAATGCTGGGTGGTACAAGCTGGCTGTATCGGGTTAGATGAAGGCAATTGGGCTTGCGTTCTTTTAGAACCTGAAATGATCCCAGCATGCCTCTGATGGGCAGTAGAAGGAACACTCATACTTTGGTTTCCCTACCTCTCAGTGGGAATAATTATTTATGACCTCTTTCTCTATATAGGCTATTGGGAGGGTCAAACACTGTCACATATGTGGACTGTGTAAGTTAGGACTAATTTTGGTTGTATCAGAAAACTCCCCAGATAACATTAAATTGAAATAATAAAGAAATTTTCTTTGTCTCTCACATTTAAGCAGTCCGCAGATAGCCAGTTCAGGTTTGGCTTTAGTGCTCCATGGTTTCAAAGGGCCAGGCTTTTTTGCTATCTTGTTCCACTGCATATGACTTTTGTTCCCAAGGTTACCTCGTGATTCAAGATGGCAGCTGGAGCTCCAGCCATTATGTTTGCATTCCAGCCAGTAGGAAAAAGTAATTTGGCATTCACCGTTTCTACAGTCATCCCATTGACTGGAACAGTCACTTGGTCACATCAATAAAGACTGGGAAATGGTAGTCTTTATTTTGAAACTACCAGTGGTTCCACGGGAGAAAGAGGAGGCTTTCTGCTCCTGTCAAGATTTACAGCCTTGGAAACCCTATATAGAGTCATTGCGAGTTGGAACCGACTCCAAGGCATACCACCACTAACACCAACACCACCACTTTAGGTAGTCAGATGCCTAGGTAAAAAGAGTTGGGATTTTATTGCCAAGGGGAAAAAAAAAATCAAATATTCCAGCATCTGTGGGATAACAAATCTGCTCCAGGACTCAGAGCTACACAGAGTACTTTGTATACCAGAACCTACCTTACAAACGCACTTCTTTTCTTGTTACTTCTCTCCTACAAGTTCTCTTGATCTCCAGGCATGCTTGTGATGGCAATCCTAGCCCTAGGGAACCTCACAGCTTTTCCTGCTGCCAGGAGACCCCCTCCAATCCAGTTCACCCTCCCCTCCGGCTGCTGAATGAATGGTTCCAAATGTAGATTTTTAGCAGCTTACTGTCATGATTAAAATCATCTCATTACAAAGCCATGTTCTAATCACCTCAAAATAAAACCTCAAACTTCTTAGGTTAGCACCATGATTGGACCTCCCAGTGACGTCTCTAGGCCTCTCATCCCCAACCATGTCTGCCTTGTGCTGAGCGACCTGCAGTTTCCTAAATGGACTAGGCCACACTGTTCTGTCTTCCTGAAACGTGCTGGTCCCTCAGAGCGTAGCCAGGGCACTCCAGCGCCACCAGGCGGTAGTATCCCAGCCACATTATAGAGTTCATGAAACAATGGGAGCAGCAGGTGAACAAAGGGCTCTCTCCCCACTTGTCTCAGAGCTGGGGTAATTATAATAACAAGAGTTGTGGAGGTTGCTAAATTCACTGAGTTTGTATGTACTGTGTGCTAGATACTGTGCCATATGCATGTATGGTTCACCCACTTCACGCCACAACCCTGTGAAGTATTATTAATTATCCCCATTTTACAGAAGAGGAAACCTAGACACAGATAAGTCATATAACATGCCCAAGGCCACAAAACTAGTAAGTGGTGGAGCCTGCCCCCCAAGCACTATCACCTTGTTGTTGTGACGTGCTGTGAAGTCGTTTCCAACTCATAGCGACCCTGTGTAGGGTTTCCAGGGAGCAGTGGGAGGGTTTGAATTGCTGACCTTGTAGCTAGCAGTCCAGGGCTTAACCTATAGCACCACACTAAGAGTTGTGGGTAAGAAAGAACAGTAGGGTCAGTTTGGGGAGCAGTATCGTATAGATCTTAAAAGCATGTGTAATGCCTAGTTCTGTGACATTTGGTAAATTTGTTAATCTCGCTGAATTCAGGTTCCTCATGGGACAGGTCTTGTTGTTGTGAAGTGCCGTCGAGTCGGTTCCGACCCATAGCGACCATGTATAGGGTTTCTGAGGAGCCGATGGTGAGTTTGAACCGCCAACCTTGCAGTTCAAACGGCTTTGCAGTCTGGTGCATTAACCCACAGCGCCACACCAGGTTTACTCAACCCCTAAGGATCACTATGAGTCAGGATGTACTTTATGGCAGTAGATTTTATATGTATTTTAGTTGAAAGGCTTAACTGGAAATATGCACATAAAATGCTCAGGACAAAGCCTGCTGTGCTGGGTGGTGGTAACAGTATTCATATCATTAGTAATTGTTAGGTGTCATTGAATTCTAACTCACAGCACCCTGTACACAACAGAAGGAAACACTGCCCGGTCCTGGACCAGCCTCACAGTTGTTAGGTGTCAGCCCATTGTTACTGTCACTGTGTCAGTGTATCTCATTGGCCGACTTTACACTTATCGCTGTTGTTAATTGCCGTCAAGTCAGTTCCGACTCACAGCGACCCTGTATAGCGTTTCTGAGGAGTGGCTGGTGAGTTTGAGTCACTGACCTTGTGGTTCAAACTGACCTTGAAGTCAAATGCTTATCCTACAGTGCCACACCAGGCCTTCACTTAATAGTGATTGTTGTTGTTGTTGTGAAGTGCTGTCAAGTCACTTCTGACTCACAGTGACCCTGTATAGGTTTCTGAGGAGCACCTGGTGAGCTTGAACTGCTGACCTTTCGGTTCAAACTGACCTTGCAGTCCAGCACATTAATCCACAGCGCCACACCAGGACTCCTTATTAGTGGTAATAATTTTTTTTTTTTTTTTTTTTGGACAAGGTCTTAAATCCAGAAAGATATTTTATAATAACAATTATTATTATTACTAGTAATTATTATTACGTAGCTTTCTGGATTTACATCCTTACCCAAAAACAGGAGTAGGGTCAAGGAAGGAAACATAGGTCTTGAAATTCTAAGTGAAAAACAAAAACAAAAACACAGGGCTTGGAATTTATTCCAACCTGTCCGTCATGACCAATGCAGAGAAATCGGAACAGACCCATATATGTAAAATGTAGGCTTACTAGAATGATAACCAACTGGGAAAAATGACAGATTGAAGCGCTGGAATGGGAGACTTGGAAAAGGCGGAGTGAGCCCTTCCTGATGCGGGAGATTGGGTTATTGGCAGAACTGCGGGCAGTGACGTGCATTCTACGTGGGGACATTCTAAGTGGGCGGCGACATCATCTTTGAGCTCGGCACTGTTGCGCCTGACTCTGCCAGCCAAGAGCTGACTGTTAAACAATGGGCATGCTGCCTTTATTTACTAAGAGGTCATCAACTTGTGATTTTTCCCGTTCGATTCTCATTCCGGTACACTCAGCTTATCCAAATCGGGGCCCTTGCCAATTTCACTTCATTGGCTATGACTGAACTGGGAAGAACTGGTTTGAAACTCTGATGAAAAGATAAAGTTTCCAGTTAACAAGTGAAAAGGAACAAACTCCAGCATGGATGGTCAAGTTTGGGGGGAGGAAAAAAAAAGTCCATTTAACATTTTTCAGACCAAATGACTAGTCAGTCCCAAAGTGATTTTTCTCTATTATGTTTTGGATGTTCTGAACTCACACAGATACCAACTAATATCCATCCCCCATCGTATCACCTAAAGGAGTTCTGGAGTGCCATTGTATGATCAGCACTAGACTGTTAACCACAAGGTTGGTGGTTCAAACCTACCAGCCGCTTCTTGGAAATCCTCTAAAGGGTCGTTATGAGTCAGAACTGACTTGATGGCACTTAACAATAACAACAGCATTGTATCATCTAAGAAGTCTTTGACATCATATTGCATTAGGCAAGTGTGCTGCACAAGATCTCTTTAAAGTGTTCAAGAGCAAAGATGTCAGTTTCAATAACCTTACATGCATATGAAAGTTGGCATATGAATAAGGAATACCATAGAAGAATTGATGCATTTGAGTTATGGTGTTGGAGGCGAATATTGAAAGTATCATGGATTTATAGAAGAACAAACAATCTGTGTTGGAAAAAGTACAGTCAGAATGCTCCTTAGAAGTCAGGATGGCCAGACTCTCATACTTCAGACATATTATCAGGAGGGACTAGTCCCTGGAGAAGGACATCATGCTAGGTAAAGTGGAGAGTCAGCAAAAAAGAGGAAGAGCCACAAGGAGATGGATTGACACAGAGGCAGGAGCAATGGGTTCAAGAGTAACAATGATGGTGAGGCTGGTTCAGGACTGGGCAGTGCTTTGTTATGTTGTGCATGAGGTCACTATGAGTCAGAACCGACTCAACGGCGCCTAACAAGAGCAACATCACATCCAACTGGGTGAAATTCAAACCAGTTGTCCAGATATTTTTAAATGTTAATATGTTAGCAAATACCCAGTTGCACCCCTTCTCTTGGTCAGGGAGCAGCGAGTTGGGGTCGACTTGATGCATGACGAAGTGGAACAGGAGCTCATCAAGGAGTCTGAGGTCCTCCAGGGGATCATGGCCCTGCTGACCCGCACCCTGGAGGAGATTACTGAGCAGATCAGGTATGACCATCTAGGGCTTGCCTTCCGAGTATCTACCTGACATTTCTAGAAAAGGTAGCACCCACAAAGTCTGGGTCTCATAGTACAGAAGTGGGGGTCAATGTTCTCACAAACACTTTCTATGACCCCAGATTGCCCAGAAGCACTCAGGTGAGACCCGGCCAGCCCTTCATACATGACACCCTGATTATAAACTAGAGGAGAGTGGAGCAGTTTCCCTCCAGGGCTGATCCCATACACACAACTGCTACAGAGGCGGCATTAGAAAATGTGATTTGTAGGACAGAATCTTGAAGTCAAAAGTTTGGTGACATGAATTTGTAACCAGGCATCTAGTGACCATATGCCCATATCTATATGCATGCGCTGAGATGCTGGGATTGTGGGGAAGGAAATGCCACCATCTGTACTAGATCTATCTTTAGCTTCATTCTGCAGGTCACCCTAGAATGCGCAGGTACTCCCTGAGTATTCTAGAGGGAGAACTAGTGCACCTTCTCCTTTCAGGTTAAACCGTTCTGCCAAGTACAACCTGGAAAAGGATTTGAAGGACAAGTTTGTGGCCCTGACCATTGACAATATCTGCTTCTCACTCCATAACAACTCACCAAACATCAGATTTTCTGAGAATGTCACCAGGATTGAACCAAAGTGAGTGGGTCCCTGCCTGCTGCTATGAACTTGCTGTCTTTCCCTCTCTTGGTCACATCCCAGCGCTTCTTAGACAGGATATGGTGCCTTCGACCTCACAGCAGGCTGGGAGCTAAGAAGAGGTAGGCCCAAGGGGCAGAGGCAGATGTTGAATGAGGTCTACTTTGAAACAGGACCCAGTACTTCTAGGGTCCTCCAGGCTAGGTCCTACTTTAGGAAAGTTTGACATAAAATCATTATGATATGAAAAAATCTAGGAATCATATCAAGAAAAAGTTAACCATTTTACCTACTGTCTTTTCACCTCCTGAGATTAACAATGTTGTTGATATGTTCATGCAAATATATACATACACATATATGCACACATTTTGCTTTGTTTATAAGAATGGGATTCTGCTATAGATCTTTTAATATAATATCTAACTTTGTTTTTCAATTAACATTACATCACAGACCTAACTCATTCTGATTTTTAAAACTATCTTTTTGAAGTAAAACATAGCTGTAAAAAAGTACACAAATATTATAATAGATATGTTGCTATTGTATGCTCATAGTGACCCTGTACATGATTTCCAAGGCTGTAAATCTTTACGGGAGCAGACCGCCTCATCTTTCTCCCATGGAACAGCTGGTAGTTTCGAACTGCTGACCTTGAGGTTCACAGCCCAATTCGTAACCACTATGCTACCAGAGCTCCTTAGATACATGTTGTTGTTGTTGTTGTGTGCCGTGGAGTCGATTCCGACTCATAGCGACCCTACACAGGGTTTCCGAGGCTGTAAATCTTTACGGGAGCAGACCGCCTCATCTTTCTCCCGCGGAGCGGCTGGTAGTTTCGAACTGCTGACCCTAAGGTTCGCAGTCCTATTCATAACTACTACACTTTGTGAATGTAGCAGTGATTAAGTCATACACACTCTAAGACATACTTCTATGGAAGGCTTCGAAAAAAATTTTTTTCTTACTGAGAGGCATGATCAGGCTCAAATATAAGTCTGCAAGTTACAAAATTAATATACACGTGTATGGGTTTCTTGATTACTGTGATAGGTTTTGTTCCCTTGGCTTTGTCTCCTGACTCATGGCAACCCCTGAGGCCCTGCCTGGTCCTGTGCCATCCCTGTGGTTGGTTGGATTTTGAACTGTTGTGGTTCAGATTCAGCTTTTTATTGGCTGACTTCCAACACCTGATCAGTAGGCCTTTCTTCTTGGTCTTGCTTCTTCTGGAAACTTCTGGAACCTGCCCAGTAGTATGCAGACCTCCACTGACTGATGGGGGGCAGCGGCACGTGAAGAGTATCAGCCTGATGTCACACCTGGGTCTCGTGCATAAAAGGCAAGAATTCTGCCACTGTATCCCCACTGCCCTTCTATTTATACACTTATATATGCATCAAGGAGTCCTGGTGTGGCACTGTGGGTTAATGCACTAGACTGCAAAGTCAGTTTTTTAATTTTTTTTTTTAATGTTTTATTGTGAATTATGTGATAGTTTACATGGGAGAACATTCGTTTTACATTCATCCTATAGTATATCATTTCATTACTATGGTTACAATCCCCTCCATGCATCATCAACCATCCAAAGGGCCAAAGGGCATACACTACA